GACTTCTGTGTGTGGGATGAGGAGTCCCTAAATGGCCTTTAGAGGTGTCCCTGAATATCCTGAAGTCATATGCAAAATCTATGTTTATGATATTTTTCTGGGGAAGATTCGATAGTTTTCATTAGTTAGTGCCCCAAAGTTAACATCAACTCTTGCTATTGCTATAGAGTATTCTCTTGAATTTAGGGACTTTGTGTCATTTGACTTTGAATCCCAGCACCTGGCTCATAGTAGATCCCCAGCATATGTCTGCAGTAGATAAATGTTCCCTAGTTTATGGTCATATTTTTTCCTACAGCTCTCTGGGATTCCCATGCCACCACCACCCATGGGACTTCCCCCTCTGCAACCTCCTCCACCACCCCCGCCACCTCCACCAGGCCTTGGCCTTGGCTTTCCTATGGCAGTTGGACCCCGTCCACCAAACTTGGGTCCCCCGCCTCCTCTCCGGGTAGGCGAGCCTGTGGCGCTGTCAGAGGAGGAGCGTCTGAAGCTGGCACAGCAGCAGGCGGCGTTGTTAATGCAGCAAGAGGAGCGTGCCAAGCAGGTAAGGCAGCTGGCAGCCTGGGCCTGGGTCTTATCAGGGTCCCGAAGCGGGCGTGGAGCCTCAGGGACAGCTGGATTCTGGGGCCAAGGCTTCTGGGACAGTCTGGACCAAACACTAGAACTTAGGCCCTAGGCTGGAAGAGGACCCCAGGAAGCAGCGTTGTGGCAGACTGGCCTGTGGGGTATTGGTGCAGATATGAGCTTGTTTTTCTTCTTTTTAAAAAATTTTTCAGTTTTCAATTACAGTTGACATTCGATATTATTTTATATTAGTTTCAGGTGTACAGCATAGTGGTTAGACATTTACATAATTAGCTTGTTTTCTTTTTTAAGCAAGGAGATCATTCACTGAAGGAACATGAGCTCTTGGAGCAGCAGAAGCGGGTAATGCCCCTCATCCTAACCTTTGACCTCATGGTCCAGTCTGTTGGCTGTTACCGCTAGTGCTCAGTGTCTAAAACAAGAAGCACCATTCAGGTTCCCTGTGGAGGCTACCTTATCCTCAACTAAGTTCCAGTATCTCCCAAATAATTCCATCTTTTTGTAGCTGAGGGGTTTGTAAGCTATGAACAACTGCAGCCTGCTTTTATTTATTTTTTTTTTTTTATTTTTTTTTTATGGCCTGCAAGCTAAGAATGGTTTTATATTTTTGAAAGATTGTTTAAAAGAAGAAAAAATAGAAACCCCAAGAATATACAACAGAGCCTAAACAATGGTCTGTAAAGCCTAAAATATTTGCTGTCTGGCCCATTACAGAAAAAGTTTGCTGATTCCTACTAGTGTTACATGGTCTCATTTTAGGTAACTTGGAGAGGACTCTGGACCCGTTTAGTCATTTGTATTGGATTTAGACTGAATGTGATGGATATCAGTTAGGAAATGATGATACATAAGACATTCAGCCCCACAGGCGCATTGTATCAGTTGTTACCTAGTGGGTTACTCAGGCGTATTAGAAAATAAGCATTAACAGCACCAGGTAGGGAAATATTTATTAAGTACTGTCTTTGCCCAGATTG